ACAATGGACTGAAAGCATGAACCAAATAAACCTTTTGTCCTTTAAATTGTGCATGTTGGGTATTTTGCCCCAGCAACAGAAAGGTGAAAAATAACACCTTCTCTCTGAGAAAAAGAAAAAAAAAAAAATTGAACAAAACATCAACTAAAAAACTGACCCAAAAACCCCATAAGACTCTTTTTTTCTTTTTGCCAAATGGAAGCTGGCATTGGTCTCTTCTCACTCCTGCACCTCCTGCAGTTCAGAAGCATTCTGTATCTAAAGCTCTGTGAGCAGAATTTGAACAACATAAATCTAAAAGAACAGGGATCTTCACAGTGCTCAGACTAACCTCAGCATTCAGCACGGCACTCTTGATCGCTGAATGTGCCATTATCTGGTCATCATCTAGCAATGTCCACACAGCGATGGGCGTTCCACATTCCCCAAGGATAAGAAAGGAAGCTCTCTGCAGTGAGGAGATCGTGTAGCTAACGGGAACCCCTTGCTGAGTGGGCTAGTGGGATACCAGGTGTCACACATGGCTTGAGCAAGCTTATTTTTTGTTTTGTTTTTGCATGCCAACTTGCTGTAGTTAGAGACAAAGCAGAGGAAGCCTCAGGGAGGGCCTCTTCTGTGAGCTATATTCATCCAAAACTATATGTTGAAATCCTACCTCTGGTACTTCAGAATATGATCTTATGTGGAGAAAGAGTCTTCACAGAGAGAAAATACAGTGAAGTCCCTGGAGTAAGTCCTTACCAAATATGATGGATGTCCTTATTTAAAAAAGTGGAAAAAAAAAAAGTGAAGTTTGGATCCAGAGACACAGAGAAGACAAGGTCTAGGCACAGAGAGAATGGCTACCTCCAAGCCAAGGAGTGGCCCAGCACAGAGCCCCCACAGCCTCAGAAGGAGCCCGCGGGACCCACACAAAGGCCTCGCACTTCCAGCCTCCAAAACCATGCATAGTCACTTTCCAGTGATGAAGCTGCCTGGTCCACAGCACTGAGTGGCAGCCTGCAGGGCGAGGCAGGGATGCAATGGAGCATCCAGTGGTGTGGCACATACTGTGCGGCCCTGGGGTGCCGTTTGGGTAGGCAAGATGAGTGATTTCAGTTCACATAATCACATACTTACCTGACTCTGGAAATGCTTCTAACAACATTCATGCAATTTAATGTTCAAATGCTACTAAACATGTAGTTTTAATTGACCAAGAAGATGAAAGGGGAAAAAAAATGTATCTATGCATTCATAAATGAGAAAGGCAAAATCACAATGGACTCCATAAAAATCCAGAGTATTACAGGAAAATATTTCCAAAAATCATACTCCAGTAAATTGAAGAAACTGCAAGAAACTCAGTTGCACAAAAATAGGGGCCAGGGAGATGACTCAGTAGAATAAGTGCTTGCCTGGCAAGGATAAGGGCCTGAGTTCAATCCTGGTTCCGAAAAAAAAAAAAGATATTTTCAAAAATAACACCAAAGGGCTATCGAGATAGCTCAGCAGACTAAGCACCCACTTAGGCAAGTGATGGGATCAGGGTTCGATCCCCAGCACCACATGCTGTGCCAGCCTCACCCCCAGGCATGCTGAGCTGGCCACCAAGACCGGGCTTGGTGGTGCCTGCCTGTAATCCCAGCACTGAGGAGGCTGAAAATAGGAGGATCACTATGAGTCTGAGCTGTGTAGTGAGACCCTGTACCGGATACATAAAAAAAAACAAAAACAAAAACATCAGACCAAAAAATGGAATTACATGAAATTAAGAAGCCTTCTGTATAGCAAAGGAAACAACCAAGAGAGTAAAGAAACAATGTACAGGATAGAAAAAGTTTACCAGATACCTCAGACAGTTTTTTTTTTTAATTTTATTTATTTATGTGCGTGGGGGGGGCAGCTCAGCCCACCAGGGGGCGGGGCTGGCTGGCATGTGGTGCTGGGAATTGAACTGAGGTCCCTGTGCTTTGCTGAGCTTGTTCTAAGTAGGTGCTTTAGACCACTGAGCCATCTCACCAGCCCCCCTCAGATAGTTTTAAAATGTAGAATATACAGTATAGAGAAGTCTCTGGGTGTGGTGGTGTACACCTATAATCCAAGCCCTGGAGAGGGTGAGGTAGGAGAATTGCCATGGGTTCAAGGCCAGCCTAGGCTACAAAGTAAATTCAAGAGTAGCCTGAACTATATTAGCAAGACTCTGTTTCAAAAAAAACCAAACCAAAACAAAGTATTTAGCCAGGTATGGCAGCATATGTCTGTAATCTCAACATTCAGGAGGCCAAGGAAGGAGGATTGCTTTAAGTTCTAGGCCAGCCTAAACTGTAAAACAAGAACCTATCTCAGAAAACAAAAATTAGATCCTTCCAAAATAATTCTATCAAAAAACAGGAAACTGAAATGAGTAGGCACTTCTCAAGAGAAGTACAAATGGGCAATAAATACATGAAAAAATATTCAGCATCTTTCACCCTCAGTGAAATGCAGGTTAAAACAACACTAAGTTTCCATCTCTCTCTAGAAAGAATGGTATTATTATCAATAAAGAAAATTTTTTTAAAAACCCAAAATGCTGGTGAGGATCTGGTGAAAAAGAAACCCTTCTATATTGCTGGTAGGAACATAAATTAATACAACCATAGTTTTTAAAATTACTCACAAAACTAAAAATAATTTACTCCAGGTATACCTCTTCTAGATCTCTTCCCTAAAGAGTTAAAAGACATCTTTTTTTAAAAAAATGCATCATAAGGCTGGGGAGATGGCTCAGTAGAATAAGCGCTTCCATGGCAAGTGCAAGGGCCTGAGTTCAATCCCTGGTTCTGCCAAAAAAAAAAAAAAAAAAAATTAAAAAATGCATCATATTACAGTGACACACGTATAGCAGCACAACCCACAATAGCTAACTATTGGAAATAGTCACAAAGAATGAAGAAAATGTGATATTTAATGGCGTGCTACTCAGATACAAAGAAGCATAAATTTGGGTCCTCTGTAGGAAGACGGATGCACCTGGACATGATAACATTAGGTGAAATAAGCCAGACAAAGAAAGTCGAACAGTGCGTGGTTTCTCTAATGTGAGAAACAACAGTATAAGTAATTTAAAGAGCAAAGTAAAAGATGATAGGCAATAGGGAGATAGACTACGTGACAAGGCGCAGGGGAGTGAGGAACAGGAGAAGGAGGGAAGGAAGTGGAAAGAACTCACGGACACACCAACTCCCTGTGATGAATGCACCACAAACATATATGGATTTTTTTTTTCTTTTTTTAATTTTATGTATTTGGTACAGGGTCTCACTATACAGCTCAGACTCATAGTGATCCTCCTGTTTCAGCCTCCCCAGTGCTGGGATTACAGGCATGCTCCACCACGCACAGACTCAGCTGCTGGCTCAGCGAACCTGGGGTTGGAGCTGGAGTGGCGTGTGGTTCCGGGTATTGAACCTGGTCCCAGTGCTTGCCTAAGCAGGCACTTAGTCTGCTGAGCTATTGCACCAGCCCTCATATACTGATTTAAAAAGGAGAAAATAGAAAAAAAAAAAAAAAAAGAACCATCATAACGTTGACCTTTAGGTAATTATACATCTTATGAAGAGACTCCCTATTTTGGGCCACTGGAAGTGAACCCCACTTTATTGGAATATTTTATTATTTCAATACTCAGATGAATTTTATTCACTGGTATTTTGTTCAGAATTTGACATCAATATTCAAAATAAATGTATCTATGTTTTCCTACTTTTGTGGTAAGCATGTGCTGTTATTATATGCTTCTTTACTTTCCCATGCCCTGAATTAGTTAAGAGCATAATTGTTTTGTATGTTTTTTTTTTTTGTGGCACTTTCTGGAGATAGGGTCTTGCTGAGTAGCCCAGGCTGGCCTTGAATTCATTGTGTAGCCTAGGCTGATCTTGAACTTGTGGCACTGTTACCATGGACATGTTTTTTTTTTTTTTTTAATTTCTTTATGTATTTGGTACAGGGTCTTACTACACAGCGCAGATTTGTAGTGATCCTCCTGTTTTTAGACTCCCCAGCACAGGGATTACAGGCATGTACCACCATGCTTGGTCTGGGTGGCTGGCTCATTGTGCCCAGGGGCAGGGCTAGCATGGCATGTGGTGCTGTGACATGAACCCTGGTCCCTGCACTTGCCTAAGCAGGCGCTTAGTCTGCTGCGCTATCTCTCCAGCTCTGCCAATTGTTCTTTTCTTGGAAGGTAAATATATACATATATACCTGGGAATTCTTTTGGATACGGGGAATTATTACTTTAATACCTCCATTAATTGTCTCTATTGTGAATGAACAAAATGTTTCTGTCTTTCTAGGAAGAAATACAGTCATAAAGTTTTATGTAAAGGTACCTCTTGTAGAGGTACTTTAAAAAGTAGACACAAGCCAGGCATAGTGCTGCCCATCTATAACCCCAGCACTCTGGATGATTGAGGCAGGAGAACTGCCACTTAGAGTGTAGCTCATCCAGGCAACTTAGCAAGACCCAGTCTCAAAAAAAAAAAAAAAAAAAAAAAATCAAAGCAGTCTGTTAGGAGGTCAGGGAACATCCATCATGTCTCCAGACTCACCGTCTACAGCTCCACTTGCCCTCACCTTGCTGGCTGTCAGCTCCACACCCACAGTGCGCACACACACACATTCACCTACATCTGCATGTGCATGCACATGCCTATGCACGTACATACACACATGTGCTCCGTGCCCTCACAGACTCACAGAGAGTTTGGCATTTGTGAGAGAAGTGCAGACCATGTGGCCCTCTGTAGGAGTCTGCTAGCCCCCTGCCCCTGCAAGCCACCTCCCATTCTAGTGGCTTCTTTCTTAAGTGCAAATGAGAAGCACAGCCTCAGTGTGCCCTCTGCCTGTGACCCACAGGGCTCTCCAGGTCTCTGGCGACATGCCTGGCCCACAGCAGGGCAAGGGGAGGACAGCAGAGGGAAGACACGCCAGATCCTGGAGGAGAGGGCAGCCAGCACTTTTATTTGGATGGAGGGGTTCCCCGAGTGTGTGTAGGCGATGTCGCCCTATGGTTTGCACTGGGTCAGGGGACAAAAAGCATCTGTCCTCCCATATGGCATCTTGTCCGCACTCTTTCCTCCCTTTCCCTCTGCCACTCATCCTTCTTTTGTCTCTCCCCTCCTCTCTTGGTCTCCTCCCATCCCTGGCTTCACACGCCTGGGCCCCCTTCCTGGGCAGGCGCACACACCACGCCTAGACCACAGCCGCCTGTCCCTGTGCAGCGCCCCCATGTGCCCTGGTCTGTGGTGGTGCCTGGGGTCCCCAGTGCACCCGCGCTTTCCTGGGTGGGCGCCCTGCGCTCCGGGAAGCAGAAGCTGCACGTTTCCACTGGTTCGAGCGACGCAGGGCCACCAGCTTCCGTCACAGGGTCTGTAGGGACAGGGAAGACGTCAGCTGCACACCTCCCTCAGGCTGCCCAGCCGGGACCCCAGTGGTCTCCCCTATCTAGGAACCAAGGGCCAACCCAGGCCACCTCGGGCTCACCCACTGCATGCTCTGACCAGGGCAGATGCAGGCATTCAGACCTCGGCTCTGGCCTCTGCTAAGCCTCCTCCCCCACAAATGGCCATCTCCTCCAACATGCCACGCCCACTCCTCAGTCCCTGCTGGGCGCACTCCTGCCCTCCTCCTACTCTCACCTCCTGGAGCTGGCCTCCTAGGGCTGGTCACCTGCACCAACCAGACCCTCTCCCAGGTGTTTTAAGGCGGTTTAACCATTGGATAAAATGTGCCCAGCACCTGTCCCACAAGCATTTGGCAAAATGCTGTCCATACAGAAGCAAGGGCAGTGACGGATTGCAGAAATGACCCAAAGTCTGTCATAAGCAGTACAAAGGACAGTAGCCTAGACAGTAGCCTAGTTTTAAACACTTACCATGGGAGGACTTGTCTCGGGCTCTGCATAGTCCTGTGGGGGGCTGGCTGGAGAGCGCATCACCCCTTCTCTTGAGGAAACAGGCCACTGCCACTAGGAAGCAGCAGATGATGGCACAGAGGCAGAGGCCCAGAGTGCAGTAGATCAGGGCCGGCTGGTCACTGCTCAGCTTTGGTCCTAGGAGGGCTGGAAGACAGCGGGAGATCCTGGTTTCAGGAGGAATCTCTCTCCAGGGCCTCCCTTGCAGTGCCTCCTGCTTCTGGCCACAGCCACCCCCCACCACCCACAGTCCATACTCATAGGCCATGCCATAGTCCTTTTTCCATGAGGCCCAAGCAATCCACATGGCCAATGCCACCCTTGGCCTGTGGCAGGCACATCTGGCTGATGGAGAGGTAGATTCCTTGTAGGGAGCTGCATGTAGCTGTGCCCTAGGATGGCACCGGTTTCCGCCTTCCACCCCCTCAAGGGG